AGAGAGAGAGAGAGAGAGAGAGAGAGAAGAAAAGAACAGCTCAATGCAGAGGTGACAAGAAAAAATGTACATTAATATGCGCCATTCCAAATAGCAATAGCTCAGGCCAGTTTTTAAGAGGAAACTCCAGAATTGATTGCACAGATCTAGCATGACCTCTCTCAGCAAGTTCACACAGAATATTCAAAAGATCAAGGCACGTCCATGTGTGATTTGTATGTCCAAGTTGAAGCTTATGGCCATGCACTCCATCAATATAAGCCTACAAAAATATCTCATTAATCATAAAAAGTTAAGAATATCTACTTCCATAACGCGCTGGAGAATGATTAGTTCCTGCAGCAGAAGTTACACAGCCATCGAAGTAAGCTAGAATTAAGCAAGCAAAACAGGGAAGAACTTGAAGTGTCCTAAATATTGGACATACCAGCTGTCTTCCAGAGTGAGCAAATGTAAATATTTCAGGTGGTGCAAATACGGCATGTTTAAGGAAAGATATCTGACCCTCCATATTCTTCCAAACGGACCCACAAATTGTATGAAGAGGAAATGCCTCCTGCAATCTCAACAAAAGATTGGACTAACAAGGAACGGATTATTTCATCTCAAAGCACCCGAAGTAAAGCAAACAATACCTGGCATGCACGTCTATATACAGACATGAAAAATGAGAATGCTTCCTCATTCGGAATGTAAAAACCCTCATGATCCAGATTTTCCATTACTCTTATCCAGTCAACACTAGGTGCCTGAATCAATAAAGCACAGTGAGGAAAAGAAAGAAAGAAAGAAATTGGTATTCATACAACATGGAGAAAAAGAAGAAGAAAAAACTTACAAGTTGCTTCACTGTGTCTATGAGAACATCCACATCCCAAGAGTTCAAGGATGGCAGATCAGATAAAGTGCTGCAACCCAAAGCTAGACTAAAAGTTGTATATATATTTCGACTGTCCTCAAGACCAGTATGATTTCGAACTATCATGCCTAGTATCTTAGAGATAGTAATCTCTGTCAGCGGCAAAAAGAGGGACAAAATCTCTTTGCATTGCGTTGCATTGACTGTGCATCCATAACCCAGTTCCTTCATTATATCTCCCATGCTCATTTCCTTCTCCATTTCAGCTAAGATGGAATCAAAATCATTATCAAGGGACTCTTGTGACAGATTTACATTCCTAGAATGGAAAACAGAAGTTGTCAAGTAAATAACAATACTACAAAGAGCTTGGGTACCCACCAAAATTCAACATAAATAGTGAAGATTATATTTAAGAGAGATTCTTTGGCACCTTAAAAATTTCTCCTCTCGCAATGCATCCGAAAGCAGTGGTGACAAAACAAACTCAGTAACATCCTTCAACTGCACCAAAGATAGCATTTGCATGAAGGAATCTAAATGCTTTGAGAGCCCTTCAGACCGTTGGAGGAACATGATAATATCCTGAATTTGCTGAATGGAATCCACAGATACAGCATTAGCACAAAGTTCCTCAATCTGACTAATGCAGAAGTTCTTCCCTGAAAAAGTAAAGAGCAACCCCTATGAAGTCCCCACAAGGAAAAACAAAAAGAAAAAGAAATGCTAACTGGCTACAATGAGTCTATTTCCACTGATGAGGTAAACTAACATTGATAACGTGTAAAAACAAAAATCAAGCAGGGCCCCATGCCTATTTTATCCAAACATGACTACAATATCCACATTAACAAAAGAACTAAAGGAAAGTAGGCAAGCTTAAATATTAGAGGAGTTCCCACGACAGGTAAGTGCAAACAATGCTCTCTGTCTTGAAGCACAAGTAGTTGAAAGCAAATTGATAGCAAGAAAACGTCAACAATGAAGGAAAAATTCTAGAACTTACCACACATTCTTGCATCAAGATTTTCAGAATCTGAAACAGCGAGACCAACTCCAATTCTTTCACACATTGACAAGTTTAACAGATTCGAGATGTTCTCAAGAATAACTTGGTTGATATCTCTACCTTTAAGGGACTCACAAAATATTGTACTAAAATTAGGTATGTCCAAGAGATGCTTGAAAACCGAAGAAATAACTAGTCGCAACAGCGGGTTTTCCAAATCTGTCCCATGGATAGTGAAATAATCCAAACAAGTTCTGAGCAGTATGAAGCTCCCTTCAGTTCCACAGTCAATAAACTGAAGCACATTGAAGATCTTGATTCANGAAAAAATGTACATTAATATGCGCCATTCCAAATAGCAATAGCTCAGGCCAGTTTTTAAGAGGAAACTCCAGAATTGATTGCACAGATCTAGCATGACCTCTCTCAGCAAGTTCACACAGAATATTCAAAAGATCAAGGCACGTCCATGTGTGATTTGTATGTCCAAGTTGAAGCTTATGGCCATGCACTCCATCAATATAAGCCTACAAAAATATCTCATTAATCATAAAAAGTTAAGAATATCTACTTCCATAACGCGCTGGAGAATGATTAGTTCCTGCAGCAGAAGTTACACAGCCATCGAAGTAAGCTAGAATTAAGCAAGCAAAACAGGGAAGAACTTGAAGTGTCCTAAATATTGGACATACCAGCTGTCTTCCAGAGTGAGCAAATGTAAATATTTCAGGTGGTGCAAATACGGCATGTTTAAGGAAAGATATCTGACCCTCCATATTCTTCCAAACGGACCCACAAATTGTATGAAGAGGAAATGCCTCCTGCAATCTCAACAAAAGATTGGACTAACAAGGAACGGATTATTTCATCTCAAAGCACCCGAAGTAAAGCAAACAATACCTGGCATGCACGTCTATATACAGACATGAAAAATGAGAATGCTTCCTCATTCGGAATGTAAAAACCCTCATGATCCAGATTTTCCATTACTCTTATCCAGTCAACACTAGGTGCCTGAATCAATAAAGCACAGTGAGGAAAAGAAAGAAAGAAAGAAATTGGTATTCATACAACATGGAGAAAAAGAAGAAGAAAAAACTTACAAGTTGCTTCACTGTGTCTATGAGAACATCCACATCCCAAGAGTTCAAGGATGGCAGATCAGATAAAGAGTTGCTTCACTGTGTCTATGAGAACATCCACATCCCAAGAGTTCAAGGATGGCAGATCAGATAAAGTGCTGCAACCCAAAGCTAGACTAAAAGTTGTATATATATTTCGACTGTCCTCAAGACCAGTATGATTTCGAACTATCATGCCTAGTATCTTAGAGATAGTAATCTCTGTCAGCGGCAAAAAGAGGGACATGATTTCGAACTATCATGCCTAGTATCTTAGAGATAGTAATCTCTGTCAGCGGCAAAAAGAGGGACAAAATCTCTTTGCATTGCGTTGCATTGACTGTGCATCCATAACCCAGTTCCTTCATTATATCTCCCATGCTCATTTCCTTCTCCATTTCAGCTAAGATGGAATCAAAATCATTATCAAGGGACTCTTGTGACAGATTTACATTCCTAGAATGGAAAACAGAAGTTGTCAAGTAAATAACAATACTACAAAGAGCTTGGGTACCCACCAAAATTCAACATAAATAGTGAAGATTATATTTAAGAGAGATTCTTTGGCACCTTAAAAATTTCTCCTCTCGCAATGCATCCGAAAGCAGTGGTGACAAAACAAACTCAGTAACATCCTTCAACTGCACCAAAGATAGCATTTGCATGAAGGAATCTAAATGCTTTGAGAGCCCTTCAGACCGTTGGAGGAACATGATAATATCCTGAATTTGCTGAATGGAATCCACAGATACAGCATTAGCACAAAGTTCCTCAATCTGACTAATGCAGAAGTTCTTCCCTGAAAAAGTAAAGAGCAACCCCTATGAAGTCCCCACAAGGAAAAACAAAAAGAAAAAGAAATGCTAACTGGCTACAATGAGTCTATTTCCACTGATGAGGTAAACTAACATTGATAACGTGTAAAAACAAAAATCAAGCAGGGCCCCATGCCTATTTTATCCAAACATGACTACAATATCCACATTAACAAAAGAACTAAAGGAAAGTAGGCAAGCTTAAATATTAGAGGAGTTCCCACGACAGGTAAGTGCAAACAATGCTCTCTGTCTTGAAGCACAAGTAGTTGAAAGCAAATTGATAGCAAGAAAACGTCAACAATGAAGGAAAAATTCTAGAACTTACCACACATTCTTGCATCAAGATTTTCAGAATCTGAAACAGCGAGACCAACTCCAATTCTTTCACACATTGACAAGTTTAACAGATTCGAGATGTTCTCCTGAAACAGCGAGACCAACTCCAATTCTTTCACACATTGACAAGTTTAACAGATTCGAGATGTTCTCGAGAATAACTTGGTTGATATCTCTACCTTTAAGGGACTCACAAAATATTGTACTAAAATTAGGTATGTCCAAGAGATGCTTGAAAACCGAAGAAATAACTAGTCGCAACAGCGGGTTTTCCAAATCTGTCCCATGGATAGTGAAATAATCCAAACAAGTTCTGAGCAGTATGAAGCTCCCTTCAGTTCCACAGTCAATAAACTATAGTGAAATAATCCAAACAAGTTCTGAGCAGTATGAAGCTCCCTTCAGTTCCACAGTCAATAAACTGAAGCACATTGAAGATCTTGATTCAGTAAAATGCTCAAAATATATTTAAATGTAAAAGATCAATGCACTAGATAGGTGAAATGCATTATTAAGAAACAGTACAAATGACATGATTTTATAACTTCTTGATCACAAAGACGATTACTTAGGAATTCGCATTCTATCTCCTAATTCTTCCATTTCGGGAAAATAAACATAAATTCCATGAAGAGAAATGAAGAAATGACGACACAAAATCAACAGTGGTCGGGAAAAAAAAAGTTCTAAAAAATATAATAATAATAACAGAAAGTAAAAAATACCCTAAATTTATGAGCCCTCAAAGCACCTATATAGAAGCTATTGACGTAAACATCCCTAATGCAGATAGTCAATTGAAATGATAGCGAGGACACACTAAAAGTCGACGGTAAAGAAGCCCCAAAGGGGTGGATTGAATCGGAAAAAAAAGGCTTCAAATATCAGTGGCGTCCGTATTCTTACCGCCAAAAAGACAATCAAAGATACAAAACTGGCTTGCGGCAACCAGTTGCCTCACAGAAAAAGAGAACAAAATCCAAAAAGGCATAAACCGCTGAAATTGTCTCACAGAAAAACCTCAAGATCAGAATGAGAAACGCGTTGGAAGTGGAGAATTAAGTAAAAATCACTTAAAGCAAGCGGGAAAAAAGTTAACCTAAATCTAGACGACGAAGCAGGAATTAGAAGAATTCTAAATAAAAAAAAAAAAAAGAGAGCTCAAATGATAGTCTGCAAGTAAGACAGAAACAGTAAACAGTGAAGAAAAGAGTGGGACGAAAACCTCATAAAGCTCTTTGAGAACAGATTCAGCATTAGATTCAGTCAAGCTCTGGAGGAGGAAGCGAATCTGGGAGGACGTTGCAGTCGAAAACATCAGCATGGCGACCCAAATCGGGAGGCTAGGGTTTTCCAGCAGAAGGAAAAACCGAGGTCCAGCTGAGTGAAGGCGAAGAAGAACAGCGGAATGGAGAGCTAGAGACGCGGGTCGGGGGATTGCTGGAACAGAGAGCAGTCCTGGTTGAGAGAGAATACGAAAAAGAAGGGATGATGGCGATCACGAGAGACTAGTGGGCTTTCCTCAGCGAACCCCTATACGCACAAATGTGGCCTCATAAATTATCATACATTATTTTTCTCATTTTAACCCTAACTTTCATAACATCATTTTAACCCTAACAATATTCAATAAATGTTGGGCGATAGTTTTGGATGAATTATTTAAAAGAAAAACCATCATCGAGTTGGGTTCAAAAAATTTTTTTAGAAGGAAATTTCAAGTTGTGACTCGAGCAATCGAGTAGAGTTTATAACTCAACTCAACCATATATTTTTGGGTTGGGATAAGTTGTCTGGTTGTTCCTTTTTTAATTATTTTAAAAAATTATATTGTAACACTCAAGCCATGACGATAAATTAAGTACATGTTTTTCATATCAAAATCGAACTTCCAAAATTTTATTGAGTGTGTTAGAGACTAAATTTCAAGATGATGTAGAATAAAAAAAATGGTCAAAGAAATCTTAGGGATAAACTGGTCATTTTTTCTTCGGCTTGTTTAGAAGTTTATGAATCATGATGAACCATAATCTGAGCGTTAACAAAGAGAAAAAATAAGAAAATGATAGAAAAAGAGAAAGAGGGTACATTTGCTCTTCGGCCTATCAACTTGAGACTACATTTGCTCTACGCCGCGTACTACAACTCGAATAGGTAACTCAAACTGACCCCTCGTGCCTCAATCCAATCCAACTCAATGCGAGCCTATCAACAAATTCCACATGTCACAGTAAGAGTGTGACTTCAAATCCAGAAGGCGAGTTAGACTCGCTCATTAGCTGCGCTCGTAGGTGACGACTTGCGCCTTGACCCAAACCAACCCAACGACTACTCCTTCACCCGTCAACCCAAAGTTGATTGCATGTGCAGTGCCATGTCGAACCATCTGCAAACTGCCTCGCATCTTGGCTTAGTCACATGCGCTGGATCCAATAGCTTGTAGTCAGCTTTGGCCGTTCCAATGGCTCAAACTACTCTTTTTTGACATATTCCACTACTTTGAACCTCTTCAACCACTTTTAACTCTCCTAGAGTCCTTTTTGACTTAGCCAAAGGCATTTGAGATAAGTAAAACCACCTTTTTAGTCAAATTAAAGTGTTCTAGACTAAATTAGAATTTTAATTATGAGTATTAGGTAAATTAGGCTGCTCAACATATTTTAACCCGGCGTGTTGTGAACTCATGTAGGTTAACTTAAGTTTCAAGGGACATATTTAAACTAACTCCAAAGATAAATTAGCAACTCCGACTTAAACTACTCAGGTAAGTGGCTCTGCTATTAGGTTAACGATGCGTGTCATGTGGCTCTTGCACGTGTCGTGCCTTGTGATTATTTAAAGTCTGTTTATTATGTTATTGTCGTGGTGTGAATACGTTATGTTAGTATAATTGTGAGACATGTCGTGTTACAAAATATCAGGTTGACGCAATATGTCATTGAAATTGTGTCTTGTCATGAAAGTGTTATATCATGTTATACATTGCACTACCATAATACTTTGTGTGCTCCCTTCCTTCCATGACATATTGACAACATGAGTGTACACTGGTAGAAGGCCACATCTAGGGGGCACATATACAAGTTCGTTTGGGTCCATGTGTGAGCTTTGTGTAGAAGAGTACTAGACATTCAATTACGCCCAAACTAAAAGTAGAATCCAAGACAATGATACGCTGATTTATGAAATGATAGGTTCCAAGCATGATTGTATTTTATGACTCCAATAGTTTAGTTAGTTACTAATTATTTTTTAAAATACTCAAATCATGTCGTTTAAAAAACTTCTTTAAAAGAAGACTTCAAAGAAACTGTAATGGTTGACCGATCATTAATTAAATTAAAATTATATATAAAAAAAAAACAAATAAAGGAGACTTCCAAGGTACACGAATAGGCCATTCCGCGTGTACGTTACCCATTAATATATATAAATAAATAAATAAAAAGGAAGTCGGCAAAGGAAGACAACTGAGAAGTGTAGTAGTTCAGCCTGGCAAAAATAAAGCCCCAATTAAGGTCCACACGCCCCTTCCCCTCTCTCCTCTCCGCCCCTTCCGCCTCTCTGCCTCCTCTCCGAAAGAGACCTCTCCGCCCACTATCTCTCCCTCTTATTTAACCCCCCTCTCTCCCCTCTCCCCCTTAATCATCAACATGGCTTCACATCATCCTCATCCTCTTCCTCTTCCTCTTCCTCTTCCTCCCGTTTGTTGCTTGTGCGGCGACGTCGGCTTTCCGGCCAACCTCTTCCGCTGCACCCTCTGCTCTCACCGGTTTCAACACTCGTAAGAATTCCTTAATTTTGATTCTTTTGTTGTTGTGGGAGAATGTTTGCTTAATCCAAATATATAGATATTTATCTTATAATAAAATATCATTATATATATAGTAAACTATCATGAGACCAGTAATGGATATATTGTTGGGGTTTGGTTCAGTTATTGCAGCAACTATTACGGCGAATCGGCAGAGGCTATTGAAGTCTGCGATTGGTGCAGATGTGAACGGAGATGTGGCCGCCGTGGCTCTGCTGCAAGGAAGTTTGGCGTCGCATCCCAAAAAAAGAGCTCCGGCCAGGATAAAAGAGAAAGAAATTCCGGTGGAATGCCGTCGCCTCGGGTTGCTCCACGGCGGTACAAGCTTCTCAAGGATGTTATGTGTTAAACGTTGTTATTGTTCCAGAAATTTTGAATTTCTCATACCAATATTTTAAGCTTAATAAATATAAATATTCATAAATTTATACTTTTCCGAAAAATATCAATGTTTGAATGATACCTTCAAATTATATTAATAAAAAACATCATTAAACTTTTAAAAAAAATAAAAATTAAAAAATGTTCTTATATTATAAAAATTCATTAATACCTTTAATCTATTTTATAAAATTCAAAAATACTATTAATATATTGGCCGATCTGCCAATAGCACGTTGAAAAAATAGTGATAATTATTCATAATTAATATTGATTAATACTAATATCCATAGTTCTAAAGAAAAAACTTCATAATTTTGAAATATTTTAAAATTTTAAAAATATATATGAAATAATTTAATAAGAGTTTATATAAAAAACTAAAGTATTGTTTAATTTTTTTTTTCAATGTTTAAGAATTGTTTTTGAATAACATGTTTATGAATATTTTTACTAATTTAGTCTATATTAAATACGTCCATTTGTATTTTTTCTTTTAAAAATAAATTTATACATGATTAAATTATTTAATTTAGCTTAACATAAACCAATTTAATTTATTTTTGTATGATAAATAATTTCGTTAAGATTCTAAAATTTGTGTTACTATAATTATATAAATGTTTGCATATCTAACTCCCAAAGCAAAGTCATGGTACGAGAGCGACAAGCAAGACGAAGAAGCGAATCATGAAGCAACTCTAATTTAAAGTGTATTAGAGAATTCCTAATTTCATGCACATGCATGTATGTATCTATATGTGTGTGTATATATTATAGGAAATTCATGCAGTAAAAAATGTAAAAAGTAGTATATGCATCATAACCCATGTTCTATGATTTAAAATGCAGGATCTCTTGATATATTTCGAACGACTGCATACACTAGTATACAACAACACGAGAGCATATAATCAAGCTTAGGAGTACGTATAGTGAATTTCTTTCATGCATGTTTAATATTTATGTTTATAAGTTTCTTTTCTGATATATTTCGGACGACTGCGTACACTAATATATAACTACAAGCTAAGTGTGTAGTCAAGCTTCTTAGAAGTAAGTATAATCTAAATCTCGCTATTTTAATGGTCATGGAAAAACAATAAAATTGGAAGTGAAAAAGAAAAAGAAAAAGAAAAAGAAAGAAATGGGAAAATTCCAGGTCATTGTCCACGTGGCAGAAGTATCAGACTCCAATTCCAAAGACTCAAACCTGAAATTGGGATTGGATCCGTACAAAGCTTGCACACCTTCCACGNAAAGAGCTCCGGCCAGGATAAAAGAGAAAGAAATTCCGGTGGAATGCCGTCGCCTCGGGTTGCTCCACGGCGGTACAAGCTTCTCAAGGATGTTATGTGTTAAACGTTGTTATTGTTCCAGAAATTAAATACGTCCATTTGTATTTTTTCTTTTAAAAATAAATTTTATAACGTAATTTTATAATTATACATGATTAAATTATTTAATTTAACTTAACATAAACCAATTTAATTTATTTTTGTATGATAAATAATTTCTTTAAGACTCTAAAATTTGTGTTGCTATAATTATATAAATGTTTGCATATTTAACTCCCAAAGCAAGGTCATGGCACGAGAGTGACAAGCAAGATGAAGAAGCCAATCATGAAGCAACTCTAATTTAAATTGTATTAGAGAACTCCTAATTTCATGCACATGTATGTATGTATCTATATATGTGTGTTTGTATATATCATAGGAAATTCATGCCGTAAAAAATGTAAAAAGTAGTATATGCATCATAACCAATGTTCTATGATTTAAAATGCAGGATCTCTTGATATATTTCGAACGACTGCATACACTAGTATACAACAACACGAGAGCCTATAATCAAGCTTAGAGTACGTATAGTGAATTTCTTTCATGCATGTTTAATATTTATGTTTATAAGTTTCTTTTCTGATATATTTCGAACGACTGCTTACACTAATATATAGCTACAAGCTAAGCGTGTAGTCAAGCTTCTTAGAAGTAAGTATAATCTAAATCTCGCTATTTTAATGGTCATGGAAAAACAATAAAATTGGAAGTGAGAAAGAAAAAGAAAGAAATGGGAAAATTCCAGGTCATTGTCCACGTGGCAGAAGTATCAGACTCCAATTCCAAAGACTCAAACCTGAAATTGGGATTGGATCCGTACAAAGCTTGCACACCTTCCACGTCATCCACTTCCAAATTCGCCTTCTTTTCCCTCGGCTTCAAGCTGGGATACATCACCGATTCTCTCACCGAGCTGTGACCCAGCCCCAACAAATGCCCAATCTCATGCGTCGCCACAGATTCCAAATCAACCGCCACTGCCGACTTCTCCTCCTCGAAATCAACCGCCCACGTCTCCGCCGCATCCAGGTGGAGCCTCCCAATCTCCGGCGAAAAAGAATGCGCCAAAACCCCAAGCACGCCGTCAAACGGCTGCCCGTCGCCGTGATCGCCTCTATAAAACCCAATTTTAATATCAGCAAACCCATAATCCTCCGTCTCCTCGAACCTCACCGGAATCACGTGGGCCCATTTAGAAAACGCCGTACGAAATACGAATTTCACGTCTTTTAAACTCAAATTGCTTATCCAATTTTCCTTCAAGAATGCGTACGTCAGCACCATCGGCATTCGCCGCGTCCACCGTGGCTTCCCGGGAAAATATAGGTAACGCGCCGTTACATGGGGTCCATGCAACGTGTCGGCCACGCGCCACCGCCGTGCAGTGGAATTTGACCGGAAAGTCACGGCGGAGGAAGGAATAATGGGTGGCAAGCAGAGGAAGAACAGAGCCAAGAGAAGGTAGCGAGGAGGAGGAATTGATGGCAGAAACATGGCATATACAAACACCTTAAGAAATGGAAGCTTAGTGTTTATATATATATATATATATATATATATAATTTTTAAAAAATAAAAATAAAATAAAAAACATATATATATTGTTCATCTTTCTCTGGTCTTTACTTAACGATTGAATTTTGACGAATTTTTATAGTTTGGTGGAACAAACTTCTCTTTCACTTTTTCTTTTTCCATTGTTTTTTTTTTTTTTTTTAATAATTATTTTATTTATA